CCTGTAGATGAACGATCTCCCTCATGGCGACGACTGCGGCAGCAGCAGAGCAGTTGAGAAGCCTATAAACGTTGAAGAGCTAGCACGCAGACTGCTACAACCGACGCTCCGCGAGTATTTATATATCAACTGTGCCCGCCTCCTCTCGCTCCGGATTGGGTTTCCAGAACGAGGCCTGAAAATACGCTCATTCTATTGGTTCCATGTCCCATCAATCTAGACGTTTAAGACCCGCCTTTCTAACGACGTCTGTTTGTTATTGGTCAGCCAGTGCTGCGGATCCTCCTATCACATTCCCGCCTCCCCCGCCCTGTGGTGCGTTACTCATTGGGTGTTTCAAATGATTGATTTACTCTCTCATTGGCTGTCTCCCGGGAGCACGCCGATAGGCTGGTACTATTGGCTGTGCGGTTTGGCGTCCTGGTAACCGCCGCAGTGCAGCGGGAGGCGCGCTCGGGTTGGGGGCGCGCGACGCGGACTTCCGGTTGTGGTTGCCGGTCGGCTAGCGGGGCCCCGCCGACAACTCTCGTGAGCCGGACCCTGCGCCTTCTCTAGGGCTTCTGCGGCGGAGCTACGCATCTCTGGGCCCGGCAGGCTCTCGTGCACCGCGGAGCCCGGGGGGAGTCCTAGGCGAAGCGGGGGGCGGGGCGCGAAGGAAAGGAACGGGTCGAGTGCGGCGATGGCGCTTGCACCCTCCCGCGCGCAGTGTTGTGGAGACGGTCGCCTTGGAGCTGCGGCTCACGACCCGCGGCTGCGTGGAGACTGCGTATCGGGCATGCCTGGCGCTTCGCGCTTTGTGCTCCAGAGGGAAAACAAGTGTGTGAAGGAAATACGGTGGAACTACACGGTCCTTCAATCGGCTTTGAAAACAGTACATTTGTGTTTTATTTTAAAATGTTGTTTTGGGGTCGGGAAGATGGCTCAGTAGAATAAGCGCTTCGCTGGCAAGCGTAAGGGCCTGAGTCCAATCCCCGGGTCCGCCAATAAAATAAAATGGAACCGGGGATTCCATTTTTTTTTTTTTTTTTTTTTTTTTTCCGGAACCGGGGATTGCCCTTGCCAGGGAAGCGCTTATTCCACTGAGCCATCTCCCCGGCCCCTTAAAATATTGTTGAAAAGAGTAAATAACATTGTGGAGTCTGCCCCTGGTGAACTATCGAGGCTAGCATTCTGGATGGACTTGTCTCTCTGCCTTGCAACCGGACTGTTAGGGGAAACACCTGCTTACATATGTATGTTCTTAAGAGAAAGAGCACCCTCTCCCCTAGCACATAATGCACAATATCGCAGGGTTAGTAGGATATGCAGTGACAGGAACATTCTCGGAAAACTTGCCAGGACAAGCAGCATCCCGTGGGGAGAGGTTAGCAGCCCGTGCCCACGTCCACTGTGGAACGGCCTAGCTTCCTCTGCTAGGGTTGGGCTCTTGCCAGGGCAGTTCCTCGCTGAGCAGGAGGCGAGTCAGCAGGTCATCGAGCTGGGCAGTCCTGGAAGATGGCGGAGGGCTCCCCCTTCCCAGACTGGCCCAGGAAGTGGGACCTGGCTCCTGTGACCACACCAACACGAGACCTATTCCTCAGAGAAGGGCTGGAGTTGGCACCGGCATGCGGGGTGCACAGGGTCCTCCTGGTGCCCGGAACAGAATGTCCTGGAGTTGGTTCTGGCCCTACCCTTCAGGGCACAACCCCACTGGAAAAGGCAACTGCTTCCCTACCGGTGCGCCACAGCTGGGAGGTCAGGGTGGCACCCCCATTTTACAGTTTATAAAACACAGTTTGCATAGCCAATCCAGTGTGAGCCTGAGCTCTCCCGTGCCAGACTGTCTTCCTGGCCCTTAACGTTGACCTCCTGAGGAAGCTGCTGACAGCCCAGGACAGTGGCGCACAGAGCTGGAGGAAGAGGCCCTCAGGACCATCCTGAAGGGGACAGGAGGATGTTGAGGGGCAGGAGGACCCGTCAAGATGTACAGCAGAGATGGCCCGGAGGGCAGGGAAGCAGCAGGAGGGGCCGTGGGAGCACTGGCACCTGCCCTGGCTCTCCAGCCTGCAGCTGTTGAGGCCTCCACAAGGCAGGCTGTGTTTACTGGTGGCCATGGTCCCAGTGGGAGGGTGTGTTACTGCCAGGCAGGGGCAGCAGGCAGACAGGCGCTGTGGCCTTAAAGGACCCTGTTTCAAGCCTTTGTGGAAAGCCTCCATTGCTCCGGAAGGAGAGGTACCCAGTGGGGCTTCCTCTCTCCAGACAGCCTCTCTGCTTGTCAGCAGATCTCCCTCCCCAGGGAGCAGCCAGGCTCCATCCCCAAAGGGCACAGGAGTTGATGCTGGCTCTGTAGTGGCCACTTGCGTGGAAAGACCAAGGTCAGGCTGTAGGAAAAGCCGCTCAGATGGCTCCCAGGACAAGGGTCACCTCCCTTAGTGACCTAGGGTGAAACCCAGGCCTAGGAAGCCTGTGAAGGTGGGGTGGTGGCAGAGGACCCAAAAGACAACCAGGCCGTTCCCAGCTGAGTGCCTGAGTTCTGGAGAGAGGTGAGCTTTTCTGGTCATGATGTGGGAGTAGGGTTGGAGTGGCAGGAGGCTCTGGGTGTCCCCGGTTTCCAGTGACCCCCGCAGCAGATGAACCTTCTGCCCTGGTCAGACCAGCACAAACCCGGACACTGCTGGGAGCAGGTGAAGGTGTCTGGGAGCCTGGTAGGCAGGCTGCACTCTTGGGGCAGGTTCCCAAAGTGAGCCCTTCCTTGGGATGAGGAGTGCCCCCTGGTGCCAAGAAGATACAGCCCCTGTGGTGTGAGGTCCTGTAGGGGCAGGACAGGACCAGACTCCTGCCCCACCCTTGCGCACCCCACCAGGCCATGCCTTTCCGAGCACCACCACTCCCAGTGGATGCGGGGGGGGGGGCATTTCAGGCATATGGCTGGCCAGGCAAAGGGGACCCCTGTCTGGGAAGCCTCTGCTGTACATGTAGGCTGATTCTCAGGCTGCAGGCAGGGAGGTCACCTGCCTCCAGCCCTTGAGCATTGTGCTGTGCCTGCAGCTCCAGAGGCTGTCCCTGGAATCCCTGTTTGGGGAGAGACCACCATTCCTAGGTAACAACCTCATTTATTTGCAAAGGGATCAAGGGCCTCAGAAGTCCTGGCGCCTGCCGGGACACATGGCAGGCCCGTTCTCCAATGTTACCACTTGCAGACCAGTGGGACTGGAATGGTGGCTGGGTGCCCACCCTTAAAACTGCTGGGAGGCCAGGACCTTGGGGGTCTCACAGCAGGGAGCCTCTTTGGTGGCTGTCTGGGGGCGTCTACAGGCCAAGCCTGGGCAGCAGTGGGTCACCAGGTGGTCCCAGGGCTCCAGAGAGCGGAGGCAGAGGGGCAGCCAGGCCCAGGAGCGCAGGCTGTGCGGCAGCCAGGATGGCCGTCGCCTCTGCAAGACATTAACCAGGATGAGGAGGAGCACCAGCCCCACCAGGGGTGCCCCAACTGCAGCCAGCACTGTGTTCCCTGCCAGAGAGAGCCCGAAGCCTGCCAGGGGCAGCAGCAGGAAGGTGAACAGCAGGTAGACAACAGCCACCCAGCGGTAGCGGGCAGTCAGATCCCCAAAGCGCTTGGCCAGTGGGATGGGCAACCTCAGGACAGGCACTATGTACCACAGCAGTATGCCAGCAAGGTTGAAGAAGAAGTGGATGAGGGCAACCTGGTGGGCAGGGAGGGCAAGGAGTCAGGAGCCTGAGTCAGGTGATGGGGGGTCACCTGGACTCTCTGCCCCTTGCCACTGCAAAAAGGGCCCCTGTCTGAAGCATGTCCTGCTTGTCCGGATCATGCTGCATGCAGCGGGGAGGGACCACTGGGAGGACAGCTTCAAGCCAGGTATGGCCAAACGCACACCACTCACCCTCAGGCACACACCTGAGACTCGGGAGCCTGGGCCAGCGCCCCTGTTGGTAACTGCCTCACTGCTGGCTAGAGGAGAAGGCCCAAGGCTACGTGCCCCGTGGGGAAGGGCAAAGCTGGAGGCTTCTGGGAGGGGCTGGGCCAAAGCCCTGAACTGGGAGGGGGAGGGGCAAGGACTCGGCGGGAGCCAGGCCAGATCTCCTGGAAGCAGCAGCCTAGCAGCCCAACGCTTTCAGGAGCTGAGTTTGTGTGGGTACCTGGGCAGGGGGAAGCTCCAGCCAGCCCAGGGTGCTTTAGAGAGAATCAGTGGCACTGTGGGCACAGGAGTGGGGCACAGAGTGTGGGCCCTCAGGGGTTGGGGCATCTTGGAAGCAGAGCCACAACCTGGCATGGCCCCAGTGCCCATCATAGGTGGGGCTTCTGTGGATGGGGGCTGGGAAGATAGGCAGCGTCCAGGTGGCCACTGTTGAATTAAAGCAGCTGGTTCAGGGGGGAGTAGAGCGGGAGGAGAGGTGCCTTGCAGATGTGGAACACAGCCCTTGGGGTCCCCTGTAGCTGGGCCAGGCCTCCAGGGGACACAGTGAGGGGCACAGGCTGGAGGGTGGAGGAACAGGGGTCCCGTAGGGGAGATTGCGGGAGACAAAGGGGCATCGGGCACAGGCATGGTTTCAGCCATGCTGAGAAGTGGCCTGGAAGGATGGAGTCTGGGGGAGGTTGGGCCTGCGCCCAGCTGAAGGCCTGTGGCTGGAACTGGAGGAGAAGCCCCAGCCACACAGGAGTAGGGCGGGGACCCAGGAGGTACCTGGACGGCAAAGAGCAGCATGTCCGCAGGGCTGGCCAGCGCAGCCAGCAGGGCTGTGGTGGTGGTGCCGATGTTGGAGCCCAGGAGCAGGGGGTATGCCCGGTCCAGGCTGATCGCCCCAACCCCTAGGTAGCGAGGGGTCAGCACAAGGCCCAAGCGGAGCCCTCTGCCGTAGGCCCATTTCTGCCCAGGCTCACCCATGAGTGGCACGATGGCTGCTGTAAAGACGCTGCTGCTCTGGAGCAGGAAGGTCATGCCAGCACCCACGAGGATGGCCAGGTAGCCACTGAGCCAGCCGCAGGGGAAAGGGAAGTCTGGGGAGGAGCCCTGGGTCATGGCTGTGTCTACCCCCCGCCCCCCGCCCGCCCTCGGCCCCAGCTCCCAGGTCTCCTCGCACCCGCGTTGATGACAGTCCTCACAGCCTGGGCCACCCAGCCACGGAGCACAGAGCTGAGCACCTTGACGATGAGCACCAGGCAGACACTCAGCACCAGAAGGGAGCCGGCCAGCAGGATACAGCCCACAGCTGGGTCCGCGAGGGTGGAGCCCACAAACAGGTGGTGGCCTGGTGGAAGGCAGGCAAGGGGGAGGTGAGCAGAGGCTGAGCATGGTGGCGGGGCTCGGCGGCAGGAAGAGGGCTCACAGGGCAGCTTGTCCTCGGCAGCTGGGCTGCCCTTCCCAGTGCAGGGGTTGAAGGCTCCACTTGCGTTGCTGTGGCCCTGGTTCTGCGGGGGCAGGGAGGACTCAGCATGGCTGGGCAGGCAGCAGAGTGGTGGGGCGGGTGGTCAGCAGATCAGAGGTCAGCGTGGGCTGGGCTCAGAGGCGCCTCACCGTCTCCCTGCTGCAGCCGCACCATTGTTTGATGAGGCTGCTGTTGGTGGCATTGCCGGTGGCACTGCTGGCTATCAGGCTGCTGTCCAGCTGGGGGTGGAGGAGCCAAGACTCAGCAGGGCCGCCGGTGCCCGCGGGTGCCAGGCCACGATGTAACCCCTCCACCCCTGTTTTCCTGGGTAGGGGCCCCACCTCCCTTTCTGGGCTTCACCTGCACAATGAGGTGTGTGAGGGGCTTTGTCAGTGCCTTGAGGATGTCAGGGGCCTGTGCACCAGGCTGCAGGTGGGCCACGCCCAGGAGCAGGGCACTCAGTCTCTGCAGCAGGGCCACAACACTCTCCAGTGGCAGCAGGACCAGCACCGTGAGCCAGTTGAAGATGCCATGCACAGCGGAGCCACTGAAGGCCCTGTGGCCACAGGGGACAGGATGTCTGATGGCCTCAGCCATGGCCAACGCCACCTTCCATCCTGTCCCCCAGCCACACTCACCTGCGAAACTCCTCCCGGTCCCCTGACTGTGCTATGGAGACCAGGGTGCTGGTGATGGATGTGCCCACGTTGACACCCATGATGATGGGGACAGACGCCTGGACAGTCAACACTATGGAGACGCCACTTCAGCTGCTGCCTGCCCAGCCTGCCTACCCGCCACTGCCTGCAGAGGGGAGGGGACTCACGCTTGGCAGCCACCATGCTGACTACAATGGAGGAGGACGTGCTGGAGCTCTGCACAAGCACTGTGACCAGCACACCGATGACCAGTCCCGCCACAGGGTTGGACAGCACCACGTTGCCCTTGAAAATGTCTCCTGCTGTTCTGCCTACACCAGGACGGAGGGCACTGAAGCTGCAGAGAGCTGGCACGCATCTCCCACCCCTGCTGTTCTTGCGCACACTTACTGCCCAGCAGCTGGAAGCCAGAGCTGAGGATGTCCAGGGAGCAGATGAAGAAGTAGAGGCTGCCCAGGAGTCCACAGGCCTTGAGGAAGCCGATGACTGCCCGGTGCATCCCGGCAGCCATGCTGAACTCTGTGGACACAAGCCAGGGCAGCGTGCTTAGCCAATCCTCCCACCCCCACCTGCTCAGCACCCTTCACCCCTTCCTTTACTTCCCCCTGGTAGAGTCCAGGAAACCCCCTTCTATGCCTTTGGAGAAGGACCCATTTTCTTCTCCTCAGTCCCCAAGACAAGGCCCAGGATGCCTGTGTCCCCAGACCCTGTTCTCTGCAGGATGGCGTGTCCACTAGGAGGGCAGAGGAGCAGGCAAGGACAGGGGGCCCCTGCATCTTAGGTGGAGGAGCAGCTGAGCAGAAGGCCACAAGTGTCCCTGGGTGGCTGCTTGGTGGACTCCCCTGGGCGTTGCACAAGTGTGGCCCTGTGCTCTCCCCCAACTCTAACCCTGACTCACTCTGTCCCCAGGCCTACCTTTCAGCTGGCCAGTGTCCTTCACCTGAGGGAGGGTCCAGGAGCCTGTGCTGTCCTCCTCTGAGACTGGGGCAGAACTGGAGGTTCCTGCAGGGGTCAGGCTGAGTAAGGCTGCTTCCAGAACCCCCTTTCAGGAGGGGGCAGCATAAGGTACCTGGGGTGCCCTCCCATCTGGGCGGTGGTGTTGGAGGTGGTGTCTGCGGAGCCTGGTACCTGCATTTCTCAGATTGCTGTCCACCAGGTCGATCATAGCCAGGGCAGGATGGGGGACCAGGCTACCAGCAAAGGAATTCAACATGGATTTCAGGCAAGGGCTAATGCAGACACTAGGCCAGATAGGCTGGGGAAGGGTGAGAGACAGCTGGTCCCCTCACACTCGTCAGTGCTGCTGAGCAGGCCAAATGGAGAACCGCTGGCCTGTGCTATCTCTCGATGCCCCTGAGGCCCAATGACCTGCCTTTCCTCTGTCCATGGCAGGTGGCTGTGGTGACCTCAGTGGCTGTCAGACAACCCCAGGCCAGTTTCAGGGGGCAGAGTCAATGGCACCCTGGCTCCCTGGCTGGCTCACTGGTCTGAGTCAGAAGAAGGCCTTTGGTGCCACTGGGCACAGAGTTTTAGAGCATAGGCTGGAAGTTCCCAGAAACTAGGGAGCCCCGAGACTCTGAGCCTCTCCTGTCCAGTGTCACTAGGGACACTCAGATGACCTGGGCAGAGACTTTGGCATCTGATGCAGATGGTGCTAGACGGGGAACGAGGCAAGGTACTCAAGGGGCTAAGGTACCCCAGACCACTGACAGCTCCCCTCCCTCTAACTCCGCTCCTAGTTTCATCTGGAACTTCCCTTTGCCCCTCAGCCTTGGTCCCGTCTGGCCCCTGGGCTCAGCTCAAGCCTGTGCAGCCCTTTTGTCCTGCCTGCCCCAGATGCTCGTGGCTCAGCATTGGGTCCCATCCAGGCCCCCACGTCCCTGGGCCCTAGCTGGTTCTGGGAGCTCCTACCTTCGTGGACGATGAGGGGTACCGTGGGGAGGAGGCAGTGGGAGCAGCCGCAGGTCAAAGATTCACTGGGTGCCCACATGACCCACTATGTCCTGAGCCCCATTAATGTTTACCCGAGTGCTAAGGCCCCCGAGGGGAACCCGCCTGGTCTCAGAGCCCCTGGGCCTTGTTACCCAAGGGCCTTGTCACCCAAGGGCGGGAGCTCTGGGCCCCGGCTCGCAGCCCCCTTTGGAGTGTGGTGTCTCCTGTGCACGCACCTCACTGCAGGCCAAGGGGCTGCCGGGCTGGACACTGGGTGCCCACGTCCCCCAGGAGGAGTCCGCGACCCAACATGGTGCGTGCTCCCCGAGCCATGAAGCGGAGGCTCTGTCCTCCCCCCATGTTCCCTGGGGACCTGCAGATCATCAGGTCCTCTCTGGCCCTGCAGATGTGTGAGGAAGCCCTTGCGCCAGGTGTGTGTGCATGGCAGGTTTCTGCAGGCAGGTGGTGAGTTCTGAGCCAGGCATAGGGCACGCTGTCCCTGGCTGCTGCAGAGAGGTTTGGGGAGGGCCGGGCTCATTTTCAGGGGCATGGGGGACTTTGCCCAGGCGAGCAGGAAGGCTGGCGTCCACTCAGCGCATTCTCTTCCCTGCCCCCTTGCAGGGGGCACTCTGGGGGGGGGGGCTGCCGGGTAATGGCTCCTTTGCTGTAGCAGCCCAGAACTGGGAGGATGGCTGCCTCAGCCTCTGCACCCTTCTGGGGGTCTGTGTCAAGGATATACAGGAGCTCTGCGACCTCAGGTGAGTCCCCTCCCTCTCTGGGGTCAGAGCTGGCCCCCACAATGCTGTCTCTGCTGCCTGCCCTAGCCCCTAGCATGGTGCTCTCCTAGAACAGCACCAGACACGTGACAAGCCCAGAGAATTAACCTTGTGGAGTGGGGTGAAATTCAGTTTGTGTGTAGGTCAGGGAATAAGGAAGCGGCCCTGCCTCACTCCTGGCTCTCTCCCTGGGAGAGGGGCCCTTGCCCTGGCCCTGCCACTCAGGACCAGCTGTGGTCTGGCCCTGCACTTTGGCCTGTGCCCACGTGCTGGGACTGGCCACCACAGCAGCCACATCTAAGCTGCGCCCGTGCCTAGCTTTCAGGTCACTGACAGAAGGGTCCCAGCCAGGCACACAGTCAGACCACTGGGGTGGTTTAGTCACCAGCCTCTTACACAGTCTCTGACACCTGCTGTGGCCTGCAGGTGTCCGTGGTGGGGTTGGCAGCACTGTGAGAAGCCACTTGGGGCTGCACCCAGATGGTGAGCTGCTGAGGGCTCTAGGTGGACGTGTGTGGCTATGATTCCCAGTGGCAAATCCTGGGCAGCAGTCTTCCTGCAAGGGTGGTCAGGCCTCAGGCCTCGGGGCTGCTGGGGAGTCCCCAGCACAAACTGCCACAACCACAGCAGCAACAGTGTTGAGGCCGGGGGAAGCGGGGCTGGCTGCCCAGGGTGGGGTAGAGCCCAGCCGGCTGCTGTGTGACTGCAGCCTCGACCTTGAGGGGTGCAGGGACCCGGGGATCTGCTCTTGCTGGCTCCCGCTCAGCCTTGACAGCCAGGAAGGCAGCCAGGTCTAGGTCCAGCATGGCCACCCCTCCACGTGGCGTGGGTGTGCTCTGGCGGCACTGTGGGCAGGGGATCCAGCGCTGCTCGTGGGCCAGAGCGTCCAGCTGTCGCACACATGCCTGGCAGAAGGTGTGGCCGCAGTAGAGGCGGCGGGGCAGGTGCCCACTGAGGTCGTAGGCTGAGCAGCAGATGATGCAGTCGTTCCGCCAAGCTGCGGGGGCCGCCCCCTCCTCCAGGGCACAGGACCCCTCAGATTGCAACATCCTGGGCAGGAAGGTGGTTGGGGACAGTGGCCCAGGTCACAGCCCACATTCCCTACCACTGCAACATGCAGCATGGGTGGGTGCTGGCCCGGAAGTCCAGGAACCAGGCCATGGGCTGTAGACAACTGCGCATTTGGGGGGCAGCTGAGGGCGAAAAGACACAGGTCTGGGCAATGTCCTGATGGCCGGCCGTGACTCCCTTACCACCCACAGCCTCCTGCTAGTGCTGCCCCCTCCACCCAGCCAGCCGGAGCCGCAGCTGCTCTTACCTGCATCTGTTCCTCTGGGCAGTTATGCCCAGCCAGAAGGTGGCCGGAACAGGGGGCAGGGCCCCGGGGCACCCTGGAGCTCCTGCTCTGGGCTCGCATTACTGCCCGCATAGGCCAGGCAACAGGAGGTAGGTGGCGGCTGGGCTGCGGAGTGGGCTCCCCTTTCAGCCACAAAGCACTGCAACTGGATCTCTTACCACAGCTCCCAAGCAGGAGATAAGGTGACCCCTCCCCCTGAGCTTGCTGCCACCAGACCCCCTCCCCCAGGCCTCCCTGTGCCTGGCCTTCCTGCTCTGCCCTAAAGCTTCCTTCTGTCAAGCTAGGTGGGTGGCAGTTCATGTTGCCATCCCAGTTACTCAGAAGGCTGAGAAGATCTCAATTTTGAGCCCAGCTTAGGCAATTTAGGAGAACCTGTCTCAAAAAACTGGCCTGAAGGGGTTGTGGAAGCTCACACCTATAACCCAGACACGGAAGGTCAAGGCCAAAGGGTCATCACAACCCGGAGGTCAGCCTGAGCTGCACTGCGAGGTCAAGGCCTGTCTGAACCACATAAGTGAGACCCCCTCCCAAGTAAGTCTGGGCTATCGCCCGGTGGCAGAGCACTTGCCTAGCGGTGGGAAGGCCCTGGCTTCAATTTCCATAGCTTCAAGGAAAAGTAAAAGGTTCCCTTTCCTTCCATGTCCACTCCATCACACTCTTCCTGTCTTGGCTGGTAGTGCCCATCCTGCAGCCCTAGGGCACGTAAGCTCCTCCAGGATACCTTCCTGCCCCACTGGCACAGGGCCCAGCCCCTGCTCCTCTGCAGCAGGCCTCATCTTTGTCCCGGTGGCAGGGCTCTGGCGTCCTCACCAGGGCTGTGGTGTTCCCATCCTGGCCCCAGATGGCGCTCACGTACTGTGCGTGGCATCTCAATTCCCTCACAAGGGCCATCCCAGTGGGCAGTGGGCTAGAATTCTCGGATGTGCAGCCAGGGTGCCCCCTGCTCTGGTCATGGGCAGAGCAGACTTGGGAGAGCCAGGGGATGGGGACGGGCTGGCAGGGGCCTCTCAAACCCTCCACAGCCCCACAGGAAGATGAGGGTAGAGTGGTCATGCATATGCACCCCCCCACAGCACACCCCAGTTGGCCTGCAGGACTGGTCAGACAGGTTCATGTCTCAGGCTGGGCAGGGTGGCCCCAAGAGCCCGGTCAGGAGTCCAGCAATGACTTGCCTGCCCCGCACCCTGGACCTCCACCTGTTACACAGCCCTTCCCTGCCTTGTGGCCAGGCACGATGTGTCAGGGGACAGCTAGCCACAGGAGGACCCGTCTGTCCTGTAAGGCCAGCTCTGCTCCCACCTCCACACAGTGCTGTGTCTACCCTGCTCTGGAAATGCCAGCTCCCCACACACTCCCTGCCCTGGCATCCCAGAGCAGCTCAGCACGTGTCCGATGGCCTTACCAGATACTCTCAGACACTTGGGCTCCTCTTCCAGCCCCTTCCTGGTCTGGCCTTCAAGGCCTGATCCAGGCCCTTCCTCCAGGAAGCCAGCCCAGAGGAAAGCAGCCGAAAAATGTCTGACCAAGGCTGGGAGATGACTCAGTGGGCCAGGCTCATCCTGTTCCACTCCCTGAAACCTGTGTCACCAGCCCCACTGGCACCATCCTGCCAACCTGCTGGAGGCCTCTTGAGGGGCTCCTGGGTGTCATGTGTGGCATCCCCTGCTATATGCCATGGGGATCAGCCCCAGGGCTTGCCATCCACTGTCCCAGCCTTGGCCCATGCGTGTAGTCTTGACTGGGGTGGTGGACTGTCTCCCATCCCCTCACCACCCCCAGACAAACCTGAGACCTGTCGGGCAGGTTAAGTGGAGATGTCACTAAGCAGGGGCTTGCTGGTGCCTGAGAGGTCCAGTGAAGCTGGGGACAGTGTGTGTGTGTGTGTGCACGCATGGATACATGTGTGCTTGGGGGCAGATACAGCTGACTGGTCCAGGACACCCTCCCAAAGGGCCCAGCCAAAAGAACCAGTCGCTGGTACAAAGCTCACCCTGCTTTATTGCCTGGGCCCTGCAGCCAGGGTTATGGCCAGTGCCCATGACTGCTCCAAAGGGCCAGCAGCCTGTCACATGGACAGTGTCCTTGTCCAGGGCAGGAAGTTGCCAGATTCTGTGACAATGGTTGCCTCTAATGTCCAGCACCACCTTGGCCACAAGCAGAGGCCAGTGCCCCACAATGGGTGGGCTAGAGAATCACACAGCAGCAGCTGTGACAGCGGCAGAATGGCGGGCAGTGGCAACACGAACAGCAGGGACAGCAGCAGCAGTGGTGAGCAATGTCGTCACCGCGACCCATGGGTGGCCGGCCAGCATAGGTCAGTCCTGCTGGGCGCTGCCCACTGCCATAGGGATTGCAGGGCTGCTCCCAGGACTGCTGGCTCTGACTGGGCACAGCCCCCTTGGCCCCCTTGGCCCCCTTGGCCCCCTTGGGCACATCAGCCTCAATAGGCTGCAGGATGCGGGTTGGCCCTGGGGTGCAGGTCACTGTGGGCGGAAGCTGAGTCTCCGGGAACGAAGATGAGGAGGAAACTTCCTCTAAGTGCTGCCCCAGGTTGGGCCGCAGTTGAGCCCGGGGGATGCTGATGTGGGTATATGGGTTCTTGACGATCATCTCGTGGGGATCCATGCCAGGCTGTGGGGCAGGCAGACACAGACACTGTCTCAAGGGCAGGGCCGCTGTCCAAGAGTCTGCAAGAGAGCACCCACCCAGGAGGAGCCCCCTTGGGGCGCTGGAACCCAGCACCAAGAGAGCACAGGGTGTGCAGGCCCATGTGCCAGTGCGACTCCAGGCATAAGCCAGAGCCAGTGTCTCCAGCTGACACCCCTGGTGTCCAGGCACTGCCTCTAGGGCAGATCTGGGGATGCAGTGGGGGCTGGGAGATGCAGCTGTATGGTGAGGGAAGTGCAGGGGGACCTCCTGTCCCTAGGCCGGGACTCACCTGCAGTGGCGGCAGCAGCAGCAGCGTCTGTCCTCCCAGTGCCTGTGTGTGGAGCGAGCAGCTGCCTTTTCCCTCCTAGGGAAGGGTGTGGTTCTGGGGCGGGACTCAAGGCTGGGGTTGCAGCCCCTGGAGCACAGTAGCGGTCCCACCCCTGGTCCTCAGGTGGGCGGCAGCCACAGCTGCCAAGCAGCTCACTCAGTGACCACGAATCCAGGCCGTGGCTCAACAAGGAGGCCTTGGGTCATGGACCCAGGAAGGAAGTGGGTCTAGGCCCAGATTCCACGGGCCCTGCTCACCCTCACTCCCGAAAGGCCCAGGCAGGGGCAGGGCTCCTCCCTGACCCGGCCTCACCACCACCACTACCAAGGCTAGGGTGCTGGGGATATCACTTTTCTTTCTTTTGGGGGGAGGCATTACTTTTGTAAGTAATAAATAATGATCGATACACCTTCGTGGATAAATCTCATTGATTCCAGAGTTGGTCACAAGCGCTCCAGTCACAAGTGACCTTTTTCGGGAAGAGGGGCTAGGGGAACGCTCCCGGCCCTGCGCCCCATCTTTGCAGGCCAAGCCCCTCCCGGGGTCGCTGTGGAGTGACAACGGTGCAAACACCACGCCGAGCCTGACACTCGTGGGGGTCCCCTGCGCAACAGCGACCGGCATTCCTCGCATGCTGGGAAGCCCCAGGAAGGCGGAACCAAACTGTATGCGGCCGCAGCCAGCGTGACCGGGACGGCCTGCGTGTAGCTGGCTAGAGCGACCCTGATACACGCTCCTGAGACCTGTCCCCGGGGTACAGCGGGCCTTCAGACCGCCGCCGGCGTAGGGGACCAGGACTTACTGCGCAGGCGCAGGAAGCACCGCCCCCGCCGTGCAAGTCCCACCCCTGGCCCTCGCTGAGAGGCGGAGCCGGCGCAAGCGCGAGCGAGGCGGCCGCGTTCCGGGGAACTTTATTCCCCAGAAGCCTCCGCGCTGCGTTTCAGGGTTTCCCAAAGACCCGGTTTGGACACCCGGTTCCGATCGGCGGGGCGGGGCTTGTCCCTGAGGCGGGGCCTCGGGCAAGGGGCGGGGCCTAAGGCCAGTTCCCTCCCAGCGGGGCAGGAGGGCCAGTTAGGGTTAGGGTTAGTGAGCAGAGGACCCGGTGGGCTCCGGACCTCCTCCGCCGCCTTCCCCGCTGGTGGCCCCTGTCGTGCCCGCCGCCCCTCCCGAGGCGCTCTTGCTCAGGGACATCCCACACACCTGCCCTCGCTGAATCAGCCCAGATGCCGCCTGGGTTCCCACGGTGCCACCCAGCCGGGCCCTGTTTAGCTCCCCAGGAACGCAGTGTAAAGGACAGAGGGGCTGCGGCCTTAAGGGGCGCTAGGGTGCCCAGTTCCGTGCAGGGTCCAGTGCAGGCAGGGGGGTGGCCACATGCCACGGTAGCCTGGCAGGGCAAGAGATGACACTCTGGAGGCCCCCCTAGCCTGCAGTCGCCAGTTTGACCTCGTTCCCCTGCTCCCTCGTAGGCGCCCACAGGCAGGGGTGTAGCTAGGCCAGAGAGGCCAGGAGGAGGGAGCAGAAAAGAATGGGGCTCCCCACCGGTGGGTCAGGTTAGCACACGGCATGACGTGACAGGGCGCGCGTGCTTTCCCGACGGGATGCCAGGGCAGCCCTGCCCAAGCAGGTGACTATCGTCGGCAGGCAGGCCTCCGCCCAGCACGTGGCCTGCCAAACACTCCAACCTTCCGCGTGCCCGTGCTCCCCCACCCACCTTCCTGGGGTCCTCAGCCCCGGCCCATGCTCTGGCACATCTCTCGACCGCCCATTCTCATCTCTCGGAGTAGGCGGGTCCTGGGCACAGCGGGGAGCAGAGGACTCAGGCACCCACAGAGCCCCTGGGGGTAGCAAAGCAGGTGCGGGGAGGGGGACACTCGCAGGTCCCCCTTCCACGTGGTCATTGTGGGGTCTCGAAATGTAAGGAGAAAGGATTTCCCTAACAGTTGGGTGGAGGTGCTGATCAGAATCCAACGTCAACCTGGCCGGGCTCAGGAGGGGGGGGGACGGGGCGCTGCGGGGGTCCTGAGCCTCTCCAAGCAAGAGGGAGACCAGGCGGTGGGAGCCGGGCCCTGAGCGGACCCAGGGGCGGTGAGAGGCTGGCCCCGCCCCGCGGACCCCGAGCGGGTCCCCAGACAGGGGGTGGCGCTGCGGGCGCGGGCGGGCGCCGCGCGCACTGCGGTCCCCG